GATCATGAAAAAATGATATTCCGTGACATAAGCCGAGGACAGTTGACTCTTCCAATTGTTTAACATGGTGCACGAGGCACACAGAAAGGTTCTATCATGTCATGCTCCTGTCGCTGCCAGGCAAACAATGGACCAGAGAGTTTGATGTGGTCATCACATGTAGTAAACATCATATACAAATCTTGCAGCTCTGTTTCAATCCTCTAACACAAAGCACACATTCAGCACTGTGTGTAGATCTAAATTTTAATGTGTCTGTCACATTTTGAGTGTAGCTTTGAAGATGCAGGTTGGTGTTGTTGGACGGAATAAACCTTGTTCAAATGACTATGGACATGATTTCACAGAGCAAAAACTTCCCCTGGGTTTTCTAGCAATATGTCCATCAGAACAAACAAACTTAAAGTAATTTCTTGATTTGAATGACCCAATGGGATATTTTTCAAACATCCACTTTAATCTGAGAGTGATCTCCCTTTAAAAAAAGATGCATAAGTGGTTTAGATAGCAGGTCTTTATGCTGCTAGGAACTGTCTGGCGATGTCATAGCTGGGGAGGGGGCACGGGTGGCCCAGTCGTCTAAGGCGGCGCGATTCGCTGTGCAGAGTTGCGTCCCTTCTGACGCGCCCGAATCCTATGATTGTGGGTTCGAATCCCGATTCGCCCCAATAATGTTTCTAGGTTTGTCTGCACCATACCCGTGCTCGTGGGTTTCACCGAAGTGGTAAACGTCTGAGACCTGCATCACTTCGGGCTTTCCTCCCACATTAAGCTGACACGCCATGATATAACTGTAATACTGTTAAAAGCGGCGTTAAACCCAACTCACTCACTCACTCACTCATAGCTGGGGACACCTAGAATGGGCTTGGAACATTGTACACATGTTTGAAATACAACCTGGGTCTAATGTGTGACAAGCAAACACTCTAGTACCTTGGCCAACTCCACACTCATGTGCCTAAGTAATGATCTCTTATATCACAAATTGGGGTGGGCAATACATGACACCCAACCAGTTCAGAAATGAATTTATGTCAACATCTAAGACTGAAACAAGTATTTGTTTTGTGTTTTCGAAGCAACTGAATTTGTTACAAGTTCATGAAAAACAGACTGTTTGCAAATTTTTCTTTATCAAATGGAGAATCTATTTTCCATAACATCTTGCCCAACTCCAGCAATCAATAGTATGAGCCAACAGAAGGAAATACTAGTGGATGGAAGCCCTGGACCTCTCTCTTATGCCATATTTAATGGCTCATTTGAAACCCCGGGCGGGATGCCCACACAATTAGGGAGATAACCAACGACAATCTGTGACAATATGTGGACAACAGGGACATGTAGGCACACAGCTATTACAAAGATGAACCAGTGGATAATCTCAGACCATGTCAGCAACATCAGCTCCAGCGACATGGACATATATCACACACTCAGACCTAGGGTAGTGCATGTCAGAAATGACAGGTGACATGCAGGATCACGACAGACAATGCTATGACCATCTGCCACGTGACCAGAGAAACTGGACACGCACATGATTGCAGGAGGTTTGACTGAGTGATGAAGACTAGGTAACAGACCACCTCCTTGTACTCTATATATCACTGGTGACAGTCGGACAACCACAGCCAACTGCTACCAATCAGTCATTAGCGAGGAGGGGGTTAAGACTCAGTGATGATTGCAAGATTCATGCAGGATCATAAAATTACAAATTCTGATGGACCCAAGTTTTGTTGTTTGTCCTATTCCTTTTGGCTGATAAGCACAAGAAGAAAGAAACAATCCACAGGCATGCTTGAAATAGATGAACCCACTTCAATGTTAATTTCAACAGTGTACCATGGAAAAGAGAAAGAAAACATCTAATCTCTGCATTGATATTATTGAAACCCCAAATGAGAAATAGAATATTTTCATTTCAATGTTCCACAATACAGACCTATCTGTCACACCATTCCACCCGTCACTGACTCCAGCTGGCTACAGAACCCATGGACATTTAAATAACCAATTTCACAAGCCACTGAAATACACGCTGAATTCAAAATGCATGAAAATAAACCAATTACCTGAACAAAGATAGAATGTAATCTGTATGAAACTCATCAACAGGTGAAAATACTCGGAATTCTAAATCCAATGGTCCATTTCTTGAACTCTATCATCATATCTAAACCCTTCTTATCTTATCAGACTTGGTTAAATCAGTGTGTTGACAATATTTGTCTTGTCTTCAAGTCAGACTTGGGTTGACAATATTTGTCTTGTCTTCAAGTCAGACTTGGGTTAAATCACTGTGATGACAATATTTGTCTTGTCTTCAAGTCAGACTTGGGTTAAATCACTGTGTTGACAATATTTGTCTTGTCTTCAAGTCAGACTTGGGTTGACAATATTTGTCTTGTCTTCAAGTCAGACTTGGGTTAAATCACTGTGATGACAATATTTGTCTTGTCTTCAAGTCAGACTTGGGTTAAATCACTGTGTTGACAATATTTGTCTTGTCTTCAAGTCAGACTTGGTTAAATCAGTGTGTTGACAATATTTGTCTTGTCTTCAAGTCAGACTTGGGTTGACAATATTTGTCTTGTCTTCAAGTCAGACTTGGGTTAAATCACTGTGATGACAATATTTGTCTTGTCTTCAAGTCAGACTTGGGTTAAATCAGTGTGTTGACAATATTTGTCTTGTCTTCAAGTCAGACTTGGTTAAATCAGTGTGTTGACAATATTTGTCTTGTCTTCAAGTCAGACTTGGGTTGACAATATTTGTCTTGTCTTCAAGTCAGACTTGGGTTAAATCACTGTGATGACAATATTTGTCTTGTCTTCAAGTCAGACTTGGGTTAAATCACTGTGATGACAATATTTGTCTTGTCTTCAAGTCAGACTTGGGTTGACAATATTTGTCTTGTCTTCAAGTCAGACTTGGGTTGACAATATTTGTCTTGTTTTCAAGTCAGACTTGGGTTAAATCACTGTGTTGACAATATTTGTCTTGTCCTCAAGTCAGACTTGGGTTAAATCACTGTGTTGACAATATTTGTCTTGTCTTCAAGTCAGACTTGGGTTAAATCACTGTGTTGACAATATTTGTCTTGTCCTCAAGTCAGACTTGGGTTAAATCACTGTGTTGACAATATTTGTCTTGTTTTCAAGTCAGACTTGGGTTAAATCACTGTGTTGACAATATTTGTCTTGTCCTCAAGTCAGACTTGGGTTAAATCACTGTGTTGACAATATTTGTCTTGTCCTCAAGTCAGACTTGGGTTAAATCAGTGTGTTGACAATATTTGTCTTGTCTTCAAGTCAGACTTGGTTAAATCAGTGTGTTGACAATATTTGTCTTGTCTTCAAGTCAGACTTGGGTTGACAATATTTGTCTTGTCTTCAAGTCAGACTTGGGTTAAATCACTGTGATGACAATATTTGTCTTGTCTTCAAGTCAGACTTGGGTTAAATCACTGTGATGACAATATTTGTCTTGTCTTCAAGTCAGACTTGGGTTGACAATATTTGTCTTGTCTTCAAGTCAGACTTGGGTTGACAATATTTGTCTTGTTTTCAAGTCAGACTTGGGTTAAATCACTGTGTTGACAATATTTGTCTTGTCCTCAAGTCAGACTTGGGTTAAATCACTGTGTTGACAATATTTGTCTTGTCTTCAAGTCAGACTTGGGTTAAATCACTGTGTTGACAATATTTGTCTTGTCCTCAAGTCAGACTTGGGTTAAATCACTGTGTTGACAATATTTGTCTTGTTTTCAAGTCAGACTTGGGTTAAATCACTGTGTTGACAATATTTGTCTTGTCCTCAAGTCAGACTTGGGTTAAATCACTGTGTTGACAATATTTGTCTTGTCCTCAAGTCAGACTTGGGTTAAATCACTGTGTTGACAATATTTGTCTGGTGTTCAAGTAAGACTTGGGTTAAATCACTTGTTATATCAATTGAGAGAATATTCATACTTACACATTCAAATGATGAAGTTAAAAATCTTGGGCAATGTAGTCCAACAAATACACATACAGTGGGACATGTAACACAATCTTACATCCTACCCAGCATACAATTAACTGACAATGTGTCTCGGGAATACTTAACATTGGAGAGACATATAAGTAGACAGAAACTCATGACAGGACATCACAATCGCATGAAGAAGATTACTCCAACATCACGACCAAATTCTCATCTTGTATGCAGACGACCAAGGAGGTCACATGATTTGAGGCAAGTATTTGAAACGTGCTAGGAGACGTGATACGGAAAGGTGTATTTTGCTGACCTATAACCCGACTTACCCTGTCTATTTACATACCATGGTACTGAAGTAAATCTTTCTATCCTCTATTGGACAAATGAGCTCAGCTCATTCATAAGAAACCTCAAACACCAAATACCCATGATGGCATTTTCAACAGACCGAACAAGATCGTCTTTTCTAATCTGAACAATATTCATCTGTTCCTTCCCCAACTAATGTCCACTGACCATTTGTTACAAAGAAAGTGAGATCAAATACGAGGACTTGATATTGAGTTTTGTCTCGGTCATGTTCATCAAACACTCACGGTTCGCTGCCACGAACCATATCAAACATTACAGTAATCGTGGAGTAATAACACAATAGAGTTTCATAACCGTCTTCATACCCCATTGACTGTCACCTTAAAGCTATGTTTGGACATCGTGGGTGTTTAAATCATGACATACAATGCCGATACAGAATGGAGGTCATTGTTACTGAAATGTATTTGTTCTTGTGATGTTAATGTTTTGATGGAAAGAATTTCCATCCAATGTCACAGCTAAACATTTGTCATTTTGTTTATTTATTTAGATTTTTTCTTTCTGGTCAAGCAGCTAATCAAACAGACGATCTGATCACAATTCCTCTAACATGATTCTGCTGTATTCTCACTCAACATATTTTGTATATGGAATGTTGCAATATTTGATGAAAGAAATATCTGTCGAAGACTTACCTCAAACTCAGAATCAACTTCAAACTCAAGGTGCTCTATAACGTATGTTTGATCAGAGAACTCCGGAGGTTCGATTGTAGCATTTTTTGTTACTTTAAATCCATTGGCTTCTACTTCATCTTTCTCTGGTTTGTATTTCTTGGAATTTTTCCGAATATTCCGCGGGGATTTTAATGCATCTTTGAAGGCTCTCAATCTTGACCTTTCACGTGGGGACACATGTGGGGAGTTCGAAAACGCCTCTTTATCAGGTGACTCTAAACAGTTAGAATTTGTCCGTGACGAAAATCCAGACTCAGAATCTGTAGAAGCTTGGTTCACTATAACAAATGCCGGCCGCTGTGAACTAATGTTTCTCATCGATACGGATCGTCCGGGAGGCTGGGGTGCTGGACGTTTCTTTTTTTTCTCCCTTGATCTCCGTAAAGATCCTGGGGATATTTCGGAGCCGCTGTAGCTGACGAACTCCGACTGTGAGTCGAAAATAGCAGGTTCCGAAATCTCACTTGAAACAGAATCGACATCACTGAATTCTGAACTGAGACCAGATGACAATCGTGATATACTGAGATGTGATGTCCCCACCATCACCAAAGACGGCGCAGAAGTGTGTTTCTTGATCATTCTTCAACTCTTGCCCTTTCTATATCACAGAATTAAATACTCCATGATTAAAGCTACGGCCACCATTCACAAACAGCTCTACAGTCCAACAAACAGTACCTGTTCATCCAGTGTGTCTATCTCCTGTGCAGCCATCTCATATCGAGGTTACGCTCACACACTTGTAAATGAATATCCACAATTTGATTGACACGATCACTCTGTCACTTTGTAGTACATTCACTCAGCAAATCCATATTTCATATCCACAATGAGTGAAGAAAACTGGGCACATGGTATCAATTCACTGCCCCTATAGTCGCACTACCTACTCTCGCAACAAACAGGCTTGGAGTAAAGCTTACATGAACTTAGTTTCACTCAGGTGGAGCTTGCCTGCTTGATGGATCACTAATCGCAACGAGAACACTCGGCTTACAGTTATATCACCTGCCTTCTCTCAATCCACGGAGTATATCATCAGTATAACACAGCCATGTTCTCGTTTGTTTCGTTGCCGTCTGCTCTGGTTGTGAACACCAATGATTACATCTTCTGTCTCTCCTCTTCAAACTACTGAGCAACAGGCAATGTTAACATGGAGCAGCTAAGCGCGACGTCCCTCCAGGCATCCCAGTTCAAAGGGAATTAATGAAGCAATATGAACAAGTCTGTGTGTCTGGGGGTCCACGGATCCTGTGACCTGCTCTACGACCTGTTTTCTCCACCCTCACAACCTTTCATTACTATCTGAATTCCTGATCCACCCAATTAAGTGATGATCTGATCGTGTGTACAAGCAGACGCACAAGCAGACGGTCACATTTCGCCCGACATGATGAATGATTCACAATCAGACCACCTGACACACCTACACAGAGAATATACACACTGGCTTGATAAGTGAAATTAAAAACAGTGTGTAAACAGGGGGCGTCTGTATACACAGATCTTTAGAAAACTGACAGCTGTCCGTATTTAATGCTGTATACAGGCACTGAAATCTGTTTTCAATAAATCCTGCTTTTGTTAATCTAGTTGAGATAAAGTTTCTTTATGCGCGATGATAGCTTTCAGTAATGTTATTCTGAATCAATCTGCTATGCTGAGTGTTTGAAATATCCTGCACCCGTAACGCATGTCTATTCGTCCATCTCCCTAACAAAATATCAACTTACTTCTGAATTGTTTACGCTAACGTGCAGAATACTCTGAATTCAAATTTCGACCACACAACTGAACAGAATCAAATACATAAAAACATTCCACTGTTGAATATTGATCTTAGTTGGGAGATCAGAGCAGAAGAGAATCACCGGCCTGTACTAACACTTACATATTCCAGTTATTTTGAACACTTCAATCTATGTTCAAATAGTCATGGCAGGTACTATATGTTCACACTCAAATGCAAAATAGGAAAACTTGTTCTGCGGCAGTGAAAGAGCAAATATGGACCACTTCAGCCCCAGCAAACCTGTCAAGTAACAAAGCTGAAAATGTCTGAAGAAATCCCACAAAAGATGCATCCAATTGACACCTTCAGAAGCAGACGTCACTTTGGGAGGAGAAGCTATCACTGAATCAGAGGGTCACATATCATCCCAGCTATGGTGAGGTCAGCTCCAAGTTTACACAGCCAGAGAATATCCTGATTAACAAGGCCAAGCCCTGGTCAGTTGTTTCAATGTTGTCAAAGTCATTAACTCCCCACACTAAACCTTCAGTAACTGCTCCGGGGCTTACAGTAAAGCCCTGAGGTGGCACAGCCTGTGTCGACAACGGGTAGTCTTGTGCGAAAGTGGGTAGTGAGAACGGAGACCCTGGATATGATAATTACCGATGGGAGGGTGGAATACCTATACATACAGCGGTTGGCCGCCGATGTGATGCGGATCCTCACAGGACAATACAAGGCATATAATCCCGCACACAAGCGGCAATCCCTTGTGACAATTCATCCTAAAACGCTGGGAGACCATCTCCCCATGGTTGGAGTTCAACTGACACTAACCTCTGCCCCCGTGTCCCCCCATGTCCACCCTTCTGTGAGTGATGGCCACCAGGTTAATATCAGCATGCCAGGAATTCACCGAGATTTGCAGGCATGAATTCTAGTCCTGTTACATTTGCAGATGAATCTGATAAATCGGTTGTCACGTAAATGTACTTTTTTTTCTAATTTCATGTTTGTTTGGAAGACTTGCGGTTATTTTTAATTTGTGTACTTTCTTTCACCATGGGTGGCAATATGCATGAGAATATTACCTGCTTACAGCAACAAAATCAAAGAAAAATGTTTCAAAAATGGGCAACTAAATATTTTTGATAAACATCTCCTTGCTTAGATATTTGATAATTCTTGTGTTCATGTATGCTTGCACACACTGACAGCTTTTCAGTAAATCCTTGCCACAATGGGCTAGGAAAAGGATACCTAAACTCCCATTTTCTGGTTGGCTGGTCACACTGTGGTCATCTGATCTGCGCCCAGCCACAACACAGGCCCCAAAGGATGGGTGGTCACTTGCTGCCCCCAGATCACCAGCCCTAACCTACAAATACCCTTTGTTTCAAGCATTCCTTAACGCTTCAGGCATCTTTCCTTCATGGTTCAAAGATCTAAGAAAAAGGGTTATTGAAAACTGTAACAGTAAAAAAACAGTTGGTTATGTAAGGGCATACAGCTTGCTTGTACAGGACCTGTTTCCTGTCCCATGCCCTTATAACAATGACTGATGCTGTGGGTGTGGGTGTGGGTGTGGGTGTGGGTGTGGGTGTGGGTGTGCAAGAATGCACCCAAGTCAGGGTAAATGTGAGCATGTGTACGACTCAAATAAAGTTAAGGATCTTTCATATTACTTCATGATCGATTAACTATAGTAATATGAACAAAACAGGTGATAGCGAATGCATGCAATAGCGAATGCATACAATGCGAATTTACAGTGTTCGAGGGATGAATATGTATGCTCCAAAGTGATTGTAGACATATATGTACCTATATTGCTTTTATGCATGCAATGATATGTAATAGTTACATTATATTATCTTTTGTACAATGGTATTTAGAGAGTCCCCTTTGCCAAAACGGACCTTGAAGGTTCATATTTTACTCTGTGTGTGTGCATGCATATGTATGTATCTTCTATGTAAACCATGTGTGACACTTCTAAATAAACAATCACTTCATTCATTCACCCCCAAGCCCCATCCCGAGCACAGCCCCGAGAAATATAACTATCCAACGTAAAGTCCCCTACCCTCCGTTTTTTGGGAGAAAAAATAAATCAAATATATGATCAGGCCACAAACATGATTAGGCTTACATTTAAAAGTATTAAAAATGTCAGGCATTTTATTATTATTTATTTGTTCTTGTAACAGCTGATCCAGGCATCTGTGTACGCTAACCGTCAACAGATGGGATTCAGGTGAAGCAGGAGTGTTTCCCGAGACTACATATATAGTGTAGTTCAACTATAGAAAGAAGGGAACACAATGCTTTTCTTCATCAACAGGCACTTGGCAACAATAAAATGCTGTAAGGCGGGTGTTTGGTAGTGAGGCGTGCAGGGATAAACATCTTATGATCAATTTATTATGACTAGGCAGCGGACTGATAGAGGTGGCATGAACTTTAATAGCACTGCACCCTCCCGCTACACCCACTCCCACCCCTAGCACCCATTCCTCTTTTACCTTCTACCCTCAATTTCTGGGGACATTTTTAACCATTTATTTTTAAACTGACACTGTGAAATCCAAATGTGTATTTCTTGTCATAATTTGTGTAGAGACATATTTTCTGTATCATGGCCATTCATTAATTTCATCAATGAGAGTTCCAGCTTCTATTTTATGGACAGAGCGTACGACCCATCGTCAATTAGAGGTCTGTGTGTATTGGATACTCGGCGTCTAATGGAGGAAATATGGTGTTCACTGTTCATGTACAGTGTCTAAAATATTCCCAGTTTCTTAGGCAGTTTGTTGATTGTGCAAAAAAATGGATGATCAGGTAACCAATAGCGACATTACTCATTAATTTACTTAGAATTATTAGTGAGTGAGTACGGTTTTACGCCGCTTTTAGCAATATTCCAGCAATATCATGGCGGGGGACACCAGAAATGGGCTTCACACCAAGGTCTTCGGCGTGACGAGCGAACGCTTTAACCACTAAGCTACCCGACCGCCTCATAGAATTATTAAACATCATGAGAGAATCATCCCAAATCACATTCAAATAAAATCATTATTTATTTAAATTGTTTGTCAATGGCACTGTGTCTTCAAAAACATATATAAGTATGTCATGATTGATGCATGGGGAATTAAACATGATGAAAATATACACGATACACCTGCATGACCATGTATCAGTTCATCAGCTGAGGCTGTACCGGTTTTCAAAACGTGAAAAACAAGGCCAGATTGCTCCAAAACTGCCAAGCACAAATCAAAATGCAAAATCTGCTTGCATAAAATTATAAGAATGATTTTTAAACATGCTCAACTTTGTAACCTGGATTCGTCATCCCCCGCCTTCCCCCACTCAATCCCAAACACTGACAATGCTTCTCATTCATCCAAGTGTATTTTTGCTAAGTCAGCAATGTCTTTTCACGGCTTCTTACAAAAGCAGCCTGTATATCAGACCTGGCTGTAAATGACGTGTGTGGACGCTAAGCTTGTATATGATTGTCACATGTCTCTGCAATACGCTCCTTTGTAAAACAGCGACATACACACTGAATCGCACAACAAAACTGCACATTGGTGCCCTGTGTGAAACCTATGTGTATTAACTATTACTATTATGAACAAAAATGGCTATTTATTTTCAGAAAACCTTCATCTCAATACTGTATTATGAGAAAATGATATCGTTTGTGTAATGTTTACTAAGTTTCACAAAAACAGACTATAAATTTCAACAAGAAAATGAACGAAATAATATCTAGCTATGAAATGGAACAATATGCTGTTCACACAATTTTAATATTTTTTTCTTTGCATTCTATTTACTTAAGGCCGTATGTTATTTCAGTTTTGGCAGTAAACATACTTTCCGTAACACGAACGCGAAATATTAATCGAAGTTCTCACAGTGAGATTCAAATGTCGGTGGGCTTGCCTCAGGGTGTCGCTTGTTGAAGGCACTTCAAAGATTATTGAAATACTTGTGATTTTTGTAATTGCAAAACACTAACATGTTTGTGTACATAATATCTGATAAAAGTGTTGATTTTGAATTTGGGAAATACATTGAAGTATCACTTGAATCCAATATGTTTAACATGTGATTCAACAACATGAGAGCTCATGTGGGGAATTGAGGCGAACACTTTCACCACTAGGTGAGGTGAAATGGGGTTTAACGTCGTGTCCAAGATTATTGCACTTATATAGCGACGTGCATGTACGTGTGTGTGTTTGTGTGGCTGCTTGTACTAGTCAAGACTGATGCTGATTTATAGTGCTAGCTCACTGAGATACCATGCCGCAGTTTAACATGAATACCCCACTCAGACACAGTATACTGACTCCGAGCCGACCAGTCCTTGTTTTAGCCCCTTAATGCCGAGTGCCAGACAGGGTAACAACAAGTACCATCTTTTATGATGCAGTCAGGGATCGAACCCCGGACCTTGGGCTCTCCGGGCGGACGCTCTACCACTAGACCACGGAGGCCGTCCTTTCACCTCTAGGCTACCCCTCCAAAGTACTCTCTGTTGTATGAGAGACTGTCTCTCTTGGGTTCTTTCTAGGTAAAGTGGGGGCATGGGTGGCCGAGTCGTCTAAGGCGCCGCGATTCGCTGTGCAGAGTTGCATCCCTTGGGCACGCTAGAAACCTATGATTGTGGGTTCGCATTCCGGTTTGCCCTGATTATGATCCTAGGTTTGTCAACACATGTCCGTGCTTGTGGGTTTCACCGAGTAAGCTGCAGTTTTTTAAATGAGGACCTGAAGAGTTTAGTCAGGGCCTGCAGATTCCACAGTCTCTGGGACCTGATGGAAGCCTGGCATTTTGTTATATTTAGTTTGTGGTATCAAGAAACTTTGTCACTCACTCACTCCACCCATCACCGACCCCACCTCCCATCCACATGCAACTATCCTCTTCACGCACGCTCCTCCTCAACCTACTACAAGCGAGTGGTATCATAAAGACAGCATTACAAACTCATAAGAATATGTGAGCAAACACATGTCTCCCCTATAGAGACAGAATACAAGTGAATGCCAGTGACTTGGCCACCCTCAGCAAATACTGCACACAACACCTGCACAGTCCCCACTATTCCCTACATCATCCAGGCACACCAAGCTGAAAAAAAGAAATGCTTACCTAGGTGCGATATGACTTGTTATTTTATATGTGTGAAAATTATGTTTTTGTAGCTAAAGAAAAACCAAATGATGACAAGAATTATTCAACATTTGTGATCTTGTGTCAACTCAATTACATGTTAATGTATTTCTGTAGAGGTAATGGCGGCAGCAAAAAAAGCAGCCATTGTCCATTTTCAGCCGAGAATGAAATTGAGTGGAGAGAGAGAAGTTGTACACACAACACCATGAAATGAACATCCTGTTTCTTCCACCATCGTCTCTTCTCTTATAACTTCTGACTATTTCATTACAAGCAAGAAACCCAGTCTTATCATCCAGGTTAAATTATCAAAAATTCAGGTAATAATATTTCATCCCTAAATTTTAACATGATTTCAAAATCCTTGTCAAGCTCTCAAATCATCCAAACTGATTTAAGAAACGAGCACCATGTGTTCTAAGTCAAGAGGTCACAGCAGCCATTGTTGAGATTCGGCAGGAGTGTTG